TAAACCTACAGTTTCCTCTTCTCATTGATCTTTTTTGTCGTCTTTCAGATTTTTAACTTATTTTGGCACTTAAAAATCTAAAATAGGAGCCTACATATAGGATCAAATAATCAATTTAACTAGTATTGATTTATCTTTTTAGATTTATTAAAGCTGCTTATGTCCGTGAAAATCTTCGTAGAATGAATGTTTTGAATTCACAAATGTTGGACCCTGAAATGGGTGAATTCCTCTGCCCGTTGTGCAAACGACTTTCTAATTGTTTTTATTTTTTTAATTTGAATTTTTATTTGTTAAATATTTTTAGGTGTTATGCCAGTTTATCCATCTTATCATTCTTTGAAAGATGTTACAGGATTTTCAACAGATCGCCCATTTGAAAGTGGAACGTTTGAAACATGGCTTAATGCTTTAAAAGATGCTTTATTTACTCAATCGGCTCCTGTACAAGTTAAGGGACACAGTCGAAAGAGGTTTTAAAAAAATTTTAAAAAATAAAATTTTGAGTTTTAGGTCACATTCTGAACGTTCTTTGGCTGAATTAGCAAAAAGTGGTGGTTCTTCTACTCAAACAGCGGCAGAAGGAATTGGTCATTTAGTTGGTCTTAATATTGGAGATACTAGTGCTTCTCAATCAAGCGTTGCCAGTCTTCCATCTTCTTTTGTTGATTCAACGCCAACAATTGAGACTCAGATATCTCGAACTGCTTCTTCAGCATCTCGAAGCACTTCTCCACTATGTATTTTTTTATTTTTAAAAGAAAAATAGTGGAAGATCTGTACTTTTCTGTTATCTTTTTGAAGTTTTGCTGGATATTTTTTGCGGATTTTTTAATGGAAAATGACTGAAAAGATAACAGAAAAGTATTAGAAAATCTTATCCCTATTTTCTTTACATTTTTAGTTTCAATTTCTGATGCTATAACAGGTCAAATACAGACTGCAGAGCAATTAGATGGACGTGGAGCTGCTCTTATGCATATTATGATGCAACATGTTTTTGGTGGAAAAAATTTATTTGGTGCTAAAAAGATTCAACCAAAAGAAATAACACAAGAAAAGTATTGAAAAAATTAAATTATTTTACCTAAAATTTATTTTTTAAAGCGTTCCGCCTTCAATTCCACATTGGAATACTTTAAAACCATTAACTAAAGCAATGTTTAAGGTTTGCAAAAAATTTTTTGAGAAATTTTTTATTATTTTTTAAAGATTCAATTGACAGAATATGGTGTTTTGCCACAAATTAATCCAAATAATCGTGTTGTCAAAACATTTATTCGCATATTTGAAGTTGTAAATATACTCAAAGCTTGTGCGTTTTTATTGCGTTCGATATCTTCTGAATTGGAAACGGAAAATAAACCTCTTTTTGGTGCATTTAATACACGACAGGTTTTTTTAAATAATATCAAATTTATCCTAATTTTCACCTAAAAATCCTTTCTTTTTAAGCGTGATTGTCTAAACAATTTTGTAAGAGTTTCTAATCTCATTCCGTTTAATTGCCAACCTTATGGAATTCATGCGCTTGTCACACAACTTTTAACTCCTTTGTTGGCCCCAAACAGCAATACTGGAGAAGGCGAGGTTGTTGAACCTTTTGTTGATGATATTCCAAGTACAAGCAGTAAAATTCAAAAGTTGTCTTCACCTTCTAAACCACTTACTCATCTTGATCAACTTCTACATAGTGATGTGAAAATAATGAATATTGATATGTTTAGTTTGGCGGTTTGTTTTAATAACTAAAAATTCTCAAGACAATGTGCCTTTGTTTTATGGTCTCTTTAATACGCCTATGCAACATTGTACTCCTTTCTTTACGAAAATAACAGTCTAGAACTTAAGAAATTTCTCCAGATATATTTTTCGATTTTTGGATTTCTGTTAGACATTGTGAGAGTAAGAGAGTTACAATATTGCTTGTGTATATAAGAGAGACGGATTTATTGCAGACAAAAATTTTTTTTGAAATATTAATTTAATAACACTAATAATATTTTTTATTTTAAAATAAAGGTTGAATTAGTTATTTGCATTGGTTGGTGTTGGGTTGACGGAAAATTAACAAATTCAGGAAATGTATTAATATATAAAGTGGCTGATGGAAGTGTGGATGAATTGTTTGTTTTTCTTTTTTTCTAAATAAAAAAATTTTATTTTCACACCTTTCAGATATATAATGCGTTTAACATTAGTAGCCTACTTATTTCAAGTAATTGAATCATTCGAATCTTCTGAATTTCCTGTATCTTTGGAAAATAATGAATTTGGAAATTTAATTAAATCTGAAATAAAGGAGAATGTAGAGGAGATGGATTCTGTAGCTTCTCCTTTTGTTGAAGAATTTTTGTCACGTTTGAGAGAACTTTTCCCCCAGCGACGGTGGTGCTATAAGCCAAAAAGTGGAATTGAGTTATATTATGTAAGTTGCAGTAATTTGAAAATTTTTTTGTGTTACTCATGGGAACTTGGTTTAATTAGTGAGGAATAATTTTTAGAAATATTTTTAGAGAATAAGAGAAATGGACATTTTATAAAACATTGAGGAATTTTACTCATAATTTTTATACATATAAGGTGTCGGGGATTTTTTTAAATATTTTTAATTTTTTTTCCAGCGACTCCATTTGGCAACAATTACATTTTTGCGTCCTTTAGCCATTTTATATAATTGTATTACACTTGTTCCACCACCTGAATCTTTGAAGGGTTTTTAAAAATATTTTTTTAATCTATTAATTTTTTAAATTAGATCCTTCATTGGATGGTTTTGTACCTTTATGTCGTTATCTTGGCCTCCCTTCTACAATTTTGGAAATACTTGGAGGTGTTGAAGTTGAACAACTCTTTCGAATGTTTGTGAATTTTTAAATCAATTTTTATTAATTTTTAGGTGGTCACAATGTCAAACACTTCCAACTGAATCTGTTAATAATGAAATTCCTCGTTCATTGCCTATTAAAGTTAATAAATTAATTGATTTACCTGAAGATTTTGGAGAATTGGTGAATATGAGTGTTCGGTTTAGGTATTTTATTTTTATTGAAATTGAATTTAATCTGGTTTTTGTGTGTTGTTATTAACAATTCTTTAATAATGTAAGGTTGTCGGATCAGGATATCCGAAAAAAGACAGAATATCCGAAAATTTTCGATCGGATCCGTATATCCGAAAAGTTCCAACTATCTACAACCTTATCCTTTAAGATTTATATTTAATTTAACAATATTTTGAAATTTTTCTAGGTGAGAATAGAAAACCTAAAGAGAATAGAATTAGATATTAATTTTAAAAAATAGTACTTCGAAGCGTTTCTTTATCTTTTAAAATTTCTTATTTTTCTTATAGACTTTGTTGCTTGCATTTTATTTTTTAATTAAATAAAAAATTTTTCGTAAAATTTATTTTTAAGGTGTCCAATAATCGGAGAATTAACAACAATGGTTCCAACATTGTGTTTATGTTGTGGAACAATTTTATGTAAAAATTAGTTTATAGGTCCATTTAAATTTTATTTTCAGGTTCTCATAGTTATTGTTGTGAAACTGAGGTTTTTTTCTGAAAAAAGTTCTTTTATTTTTAATTTTAAAGGTTGTTGGTAAAAAGATGGGAGCCTGTGCTTATCATTTAAGTCATTGTCATGGTTCTACTGGAATATTTTTGAGGTTTCCTTAGATTTTTAAGGAATTTCCAAACCTTTTTCAATCAATAGAATTCGTGAATGTCAAATTTTCTTCCTTTATATTGCTGGTGAATCTATTAGAGGTTGCTTTAAAAATGCACCTTATGTTGATGAATTTGGAGAAACTGACCCTGGATTTAGGTTTTTCTTTAAATAAAAAATTTTTTTCAATTTTTATTTAGACGTGGAAATCCTATGCGTTTAAACAAAGAACTTTATTGGAAAATTCAAAGGCAATGGTTACATCAAGAAATTGCTGAAGAAGTTATAAATCAATATGAGTTGAATCATCGAAATATTGCCTATGATTGGCAACATTTTTGAAAAGATTCTTGGTTAAATATAAATAATTTTAAAAATTAAAGGAGACATTTTGTCTTTAAAATATATTTTTTTAATTTTACTTTTTATAATTCATTCATTATTTTTGAACTGATTTTAGTTGATAACGTTGGGATTTTTTAGAAATGATTTTCTGGGGAATTAAAAATTTTTTTTTATTTCTAATATTTTTATTTTGATTTTTTTAGTAAATATTAAAAAATTTTAACGGAAAATATTTTAAAGAATGAATGAATTTGTATTTACGTTTAAAATTCCGACTGTGTGAATACTACAAATATATTTTAATTTTTCTTTAAATTCTTCACCTGTAATTTTCTCTCTACACAATTTTTTTATTATTTTAAAAAGAAAATTGATTAAATAAATTTTATTGTGTATTTTTTGTTTATTTTTAAAATTAAAATTTTTTATAATATCTTTTAAATTTTTTAAAATTTTATTCTTTTTAGTTTAGAGTATTTGCTTCTTTTATTTATTTTATTCAATGGGTAGAAGTCCACATTCTTCATCTCATAGCAGAAGAAAACGGAGCCGTTCAAGGGAAAGATATAGCAGAGAAAGAAGTCGATCAAGAGAAAGAAGTCCTAAAACATCGAAGGTTTGTTAAATTTTTGTAAAATTATTCTAGAAAGGATTTTTTTGTTTCATAGAATGTTTGGGGGTTTTGGGTGGGAAAATAATCCGAAAAATTAAACGAAATTTTTGTTTCCCGTATTTTCTTTAAGATTTTCAGGCTTTTTAGAGGGCCATATCTTGGCCAGATCAAAAAACGGTACAAAATCCTTGGTAGAAGGGCACATTCTCTATCGAATGAGCCCGGTCTCGACCGTTTTTAGGTCGGACACCTCGCAACCTTTCTTTGTAAAATTATTTTTAGAGACGAAGCGATAGAGATTCAAGAAGAGATGAAGATCATTATGAACACCATTCAAAACATCGTTCTCATTCTAATCGAAAATTTGTTCGAATGGACCCGCCGCCTGGTGGATGGGATAAACCTTCATGGGAACCTAGTGGAGCTTTGAAAAAAGAAATAAAAAATGAAGAAGAAGAAGAACAACCTTCATTTAATAATTCAAAAAAGAAGGAAGAGGAAAGAGAAAAACCTTCATTTGAGCCTTCTGGAAAACTTGCACAGGACACAAATACATTTAAAGGTGTTGTTGTTAAGGTAGATTTTTTGTTTTAAATTATTAAAAAAATTTTTGATTAAATTTATTCCTTTTAGTATAACGAACCTCCAGAAGCTAAAATTCCAAAATTGCGTTGGAGAATTTATCCGTTTAAAGTTTGTTAATTTTTTTTATTTTTCTGTTTTTCTTTTATTTTTTTGTTTTATATTTTGGAGTCCCATAGTTATCGGAAACACGAATGGGTTTGGATTACTCAATACTTGAAACCCGGGATTTTTTCGCACGAACTCCAACTATTTCTCATCCAGGCCCATACCTGATCTACAATATCCAAACTTACATTGAATGGGTCTAATTGTAAGGAGTGCTTTTGGAATGTTAACTAACATGTCAATTACTTTTCTCGGGAGGAACATTTAATAAATTTCTATTTTCTAAATTTATGTTTTTAAGTTCTAAAAATATTTTCTAATCCATTTTTAATTTTCCCACTCACAAACCTTTAAATTTTCAAATTATCCGTTTATTTTTCCAGGGAGAAGAATCATTGCCAGTAATTTATGTCCATCGCCAATCAGCTTATTTAATTGGACGTGATCACAAAGTTGCCGATTTCCCTATTGATCATCCAAGTTGTTCAAAACAACATGCAGCTCTTCAATATCGTTCAATGCCTTTTGAAAGGGCTGATGGGTCTAAAGGAAGAGTTTTGTTTTGGAAATATTTTTTAAAAAATAAATTTTATTTTTTAAAGAGAACTCGTCCTTACATAATTGATTTGGGCTCAGGAAATGGAACATTTTTGGTAATAATTTTTTTAATTTAAAGTCTTAATTTTTGAATACCGTAAATGTTCCAATAGAAGCCCGGCTCCAAAAGAAGCCCATGCCCTATTACCTATAAGCCCACTCAATGAGGGGTATTGAAGAATAAACGCCCATGCCCCATTAGAAGCCCACCCAATGGGGAACCCATTGAAAAATAGACGCCTAGGGCTTCTATTGGAACATTTACGGTAACTAGATTTTTTAATGGATTATTTGATTTTTTGGGGTTAAAACCAGTACATGTTCGGGTAGAAACTGGTACAACCCAATTCCCAAAAGATAGGGAATTTATTTTTTATCAACGCGTTTCCTTGTACACTTTGGAAAATTTTGTGATTTTGTTTTATGAAAAAGTCTCGTGATTTTTTTGTTACAAATTTTAATTGATTTGCTCCAATTTTTCCTTCTTAATAATTTTATTTTTTTTAAAAGAATGGTGAAAGAATAGAAGCTCAACGTTATTACCAATTAAAAGAAAAAGATGTTTTAAAATTTGGATTTAGTTCAAGAGAATATGTTATGTTACATGAACAATCATTAAAAGGAGGAGAAGAATCTGATACTTCTGAAGGGGAAGAAGATGATGTTGGGGATATAATTGAAAGAAGTCAAGAAGATGAAGAAAGAATTGCTGCTGCTGAGGAAGATGATTTATTTTAATTTTTAAAAATTATTTTCAAAAACAAAAAATTCCTTTCTGTGTAAAACAAATTACTGGTAAAATATTTTGGTTGGTTAAAAATAATTTTTTTTATTTTTTAATAATTTACCTCCTCAAATAACTTTTTCGATTTATCTGGAAATTATTTTGACTAAGAATTTTTTCATAAAATTATTTTCGTACTTTATCAAGTTTGCTTGTAATAGTACCTGTTCTTAAGGAGGGGACTTTAATCTTTGTTAAATTTATTATTTCGATTTATTACAGCTCTAAGATTTTACTATTTTTTCAAATTTATTTAAAAATTTATTTTGGCATTTTATTAAATAAACTAAAAAATTTTTTCCCAATTCCACTTTTAATAAATCTTTTTTAACTTTTACTTTTACTAATTAAAAGAAATAAATTCCGACGATTTACACATCTTTGTGACAGCTATTCTTTTTTAAACAATGCTTGCTCGGTACAAGTACTTTTCGATATTATAGGTCTGGGATCTGGGTAACCCGATCCACGAAAATCGGGAATTCCTGAAGGTTTTTAGGTCGGGAATCCCAATACACTAATTCTTTTTTAATTGTATTTTTAATACAAAATATACAAAATTAAATCGCTTATTTTATTATAGTAATTTCTTTTAAATTAAACAAAATTAAGTAATAATTATAAAATTTTTTGAAAAAATAAACAAAATTTAAAAAAGACTATTTTGCGAACAAAAAAAGTATGGTCACATAAGGGGGTACAGCTCAAAAGGGCACGCTGCCATAACTGCGCAAAGCCATAACCTGCTTCAAAATTTCCGAATCTTACCAAATTTAGTATTAAACAATTCCTCTCATTGAGCTAAAGAAATTGGTTTCAAAATTGATAAGGGCCAGAAATTTTTCAGCTAGTTATGAGTTTGCGCCGTTATGGCCGCACACCCTTTTTGATGTATCACAAATAGAGTTTTCATTTAGAAATTTAGTAAAAACTTAAAAAAATTAATAATTTAGATTAAGAAAAATAAAAACCTAAACGAAATTAACCTAAATAAATAAATTTCAATAAAATTCTTTTAGAATTTTATGTTTTGAAATGTCATATTTAAATGAGATTTTCGAATTATTTCCAAAATTTGCCTCAATAGAATAACATGCCATTTTGACAAATGGTTTAAATGAGTCGAAATTGTCTTTTAATAAAAAACCTTTACCTTAAAAAATAATTTTTGTAAAAAATTATTTTTTTAATATTTACCAAACATTTCTCCATTTTTAGTAAAGAAAACATAAGGAAATTCTTCATTTAATTTATAAGTTGGCGGATAAACTAATCCGCAACCAAAAACATCATTGTAATTGAAAGGAATTCTTGAATTCATAAATTTTTCTTTTGTTGCTGCTTCTTCTTTTCTTATGTAATAAATTCCACAAGAAATTGGACTGTAGAAAATATGTTCTTCTAAATCAGAATTTTTTAGACCAATAAGCATCTGATTTTCACTATTATGAAACTTGTCTTCAAATTTATATTTAATTTCAAAATAATATAAAGAATAATTTAGACAATTTTGTGGTTTGTTAAATGAATTGTTTGCATAAACATAAACCATATCATCACCTTAAATTATTTACAACAAATTAAACGCAAAAATTCATTAGTTTATTTTTTACTGTCCAAACAATAATCATAATATTACCTAAATCCATAAATACTACCTCTAATTTCTCCAAACTCCTATAGATCCTAAGATTGATATACAAATCCCTAAATCCCTAGATATCTTCCCCAAATCTTTTGATATCTTCTTAATCCTTCCAAATTTCTGATATTGCCCTTAATCGCCTTTCTGGATCAGACTTCATCGAAAATATCGGGATCCATATTAAAACGAATATTGAACTAAAACAAATAAAAGATAATACAAAGGGCAATTCAATTCGCATAGACATTTGATTATAATAAATACGGTATTTATTCAATTCCCCAAATTTTATATAATTATTACCAATATATTTTTGTATTGTTATAAAATTATTTTTGCATTTAATAAAATCACTTTCAATTTCACTCCATTTATTTTCAATTCCAACAAACTTCTTTAAAAAAAATTATTTTTTAATAATTTAAGATTAAAATTATTAAAATACTAACCGCATATTTATTATTAGCCAAATTATTTAATTTAATTAATTCTTCAAACTTTTTCTCAAATAAATCATTTACCTTTTTATAAAAATTAATTATTAAAAAATATTTATTTAAAATTAAAATTCCTAAAACGAAAAGCCTCTTCTTTTGATTTACAAGTTTGAGAACTAATTTAAGTCAGAATTTTTTATAAAATTTATATTAATTTTTATTTTATTTTAAATAAAATTAATTACTACCTTTTTAATTTCATTTTCCAAAAAATTAATTCTCTCATCTCTCCGATCATTTTCAATTTTTAATTGTTCAAATTTGTTGTCAAATAATTTCTGGAATTTTTGTTCTAATTCATTAATTTCTTTTTTATGTTCAGTATTTAAATTTATAATTTTCTAAAATTTAAAATTAACACAAAAATATATATCCACAAGCTTTTTCAATTTTAATTTCGTTCAAGAATTTTTTTACAAGATTTTTATATAAATTAATTATTAAAAAATATTTTTTTTATTTAAAATTAAAATTCTTTAAAACGAAAAACAATTTTCCTTTGATTTAAAATTTGGGAACTAATTCCCTTTTTTAAGTTAGAATTTTGGTAATTTTTAATTAAATACCTCCTTCAAAGAATTAATTTTCCGATCATTTTCAGCTTTTAATTGTTGGAATTTCTCCTCCAAATTTTTAATTCTATCATCATCACCGGGTTCACATTTTATTTTACTTTTATTTGTATTGTCTGAACTTGTTTGTTGAATCTTTTAAATAAATTTATTGTAAATTAAAAACCAAAAAAATTATTTAAAAATTTTCCCAGACTTAAGTTATTTTTCATTTTACGAAAAATATAAAAAATATATACTCCAAATTTGACGGTATATGAAATACTAGGTGAGAATCCATATTTCCCCTTATTTCCTTGCTTTAACTAGAAATGGTTAATTTTTCCTTTGTAGAAAAAAGGGCAATTCAAACCCTCAAAACATCGGGGTGAATCGGTATTTTTGGATTCGGGACCTGTGGGCTGGGTGAGTACAAGTGATGGAAAGGTTCCAGTTCCAATTCCGGAATTGGAATTGATTTGGAACTGGAACCTAAATTTCAATCAAAAATGTATGTAGATAGCAGGGGTGTGCCGAAAGTGATTTTAAAAAGCGAAAGGCGAAAGTCCAAAAAAGGCGAAAATCGGCGAAAGGCGAAAGGCGAAACTCGCACACCCATGGTAGATAGACTCTAGTTCAAATTACAAAAATAACACATGATTTAAAAAACGAAAATTACAAAAAAATAGAAACTGCTATGCGCAGTGGTGGAAATTTACTTAGGGAAAAAACTAGGGTTTAATTTATGGAAAACTAAAATAGCAAAATTCTGAATAAATTCCTGAAATATTCCCTATCAATATGATGAAGGATAGAAAAAGAAGCTGAGATTTTTAACTCACTCCTATCATCGAGATCTCGAGATTTAAAAAATATTTGAACCCAACTGACCTAGATAAAAAAATTTTCCCATCATCAAAAATACACAAAAAAATAAATAAAGTCAAACGAAATTTTTTTTGAATAAAACTTAAAAAACATTTCCGCCACTTGAAAAAATTTTCCCATTTTAATGTTTTTTTCTGCCTTGTATTTTAAATAAATAAATTACTACCTTTTTAATTTCTTCTTCCAAAAAATTAATTCTCTCATCCTTTTGCTTCAAACACAAATCATTTTCCTCTTTTAATTGTTTAAATTTAGTATCAAATAATTTTTGGAATTTTTGTTCCATTTCTTCAATTTCTTTTTTATGTTCAGAATTTAATTTTATAATTTTCTAAAAATAATATTTTTAAAATAAATAAATATATTTCCACAAACTTTTTCAATTTCTTTCAATTTATTTTCATTCGAAAAATTTTTCCTTTCAAGATTTAAAGTCTTCTCTTCAACAGATTTTATTTGCCAGAAATTATCATTTACTTTCGATTCCAAATCAGAATTTGATGACCCTTCTTCAGCCATTTTTTAAAATTAATTTTTAAAAAGAAAAACAAAATCTAAAATATATTCAAAATTTGTTAAAATTTGAAACAATTTCCAATAAAAGTTCGGGTTGTCTCGGGTCGAGAAAAAAATCTTTTTTTTTTCCTCGGGTCGGATTTCGGGTCGAAAAAAGACTGGGTTTCGGGTACCCGAGACATCCCTGGTTTGTCTGCGAAACCTTTTTTTATTTTTTAAATTTCCCTAGAATAAATAGAAAAAGAATTATGTACTTCTTCTAGAGGTTTGTAATTAGGTAATTAAGTTTAAATATAAATTTGAATTTTATTTATTTGGAATTCCTAACTCGAATCAGACAAGTACAAATTCGGTTCAGAAATTAAAACTGACACGTCTCTTGGAGCCTGAATACGTATCTTGGAGATAAAATTTGAATTCATATTTAGAGTTAATTACCCAATTACAAACCTACAAAACATCGAAAAATCATTTCCTAATTATTTTTTTTCTAGGGAGACGAGAAACACACACGAGAAAAGGAGGAAAATGCATTGACAATTTTAGTCATTTTTTTAAAGAATAAAAAAATAAACGTATTAAATTTAGGAGGAAATTAAAATAAATTTGGGTATGTTCGGGGTTTTAATAGAATATCAAATGATTGTCGAAAATATGGAAAAATGCTAATTTTAGATTGTAACTGAGAAAAAATACTTTACTTCGAGATATTCTAGACCCACATACCTAATTCCATTTCCTAAAGGTTAACATTGTATATGTAAATAAAAACAGACAAAATTCAAAAAATAAAAATTGATTAACATTTAAAAATATGTTTATTGATATTTACATTTTAAAAAGGATTGACAAAAAGGTTGGTGGTCTAATAATTAAATTAGATACATTTAATGCTGTGGTCAGTTTATAGTTAAAAAAATTTATAAATGCGCCTTTTAATTTTGTTAAGATTAAAAATAAAAAATATTTTGACAATAATTGTGTAAATACAAAAAAGGCTACTGAAATGTTCCCCGACGACGGAAGGGAGGTGAAAACTTTGGTAAAACACCAGATTCTTTCGTTTTTGCGTCGCAGGCGAAAATTTTGAAAATTTTGGTTCGGGGACGGGGAACATTGACGGAAATGGATATGGAAATTTAATTAATGATGAAAATATTAAATAGCTATATTGTTTAGATGGAGAAGTATTTAAATTATTGAATTCTGATTCTTTTTTGTAAATATTTTTAGGATAGATGAATACGTTCTTGTTTATTAAGAAAATTCATTCGAAAAAACTTAACATTTTTGAGTATTCTTTATTATTTTGAAATTATATAAATGTAAATTTGAAAGAGAGTTATAATAAATATATAATGGCAAAAATTGGATGGCTATCTGTCTTAAAAATTGTGTTCAAATTAGAGACCGGCGCGGGACGGGATCCCGACGGGATTTTCCGGGATCCCGAAATCCCGGATTTTTTTTATTTTCGGGATCAACCGGGATCCGGGATGTTTTCGTGATTTATCCCTCGGGATTCCGTCCCAGCGTCGGTCAAGAAAAAAATCCCGACTCGGGATCCCGGAAGTGCGATTTTGCCGGTCTCTAGTTCAAATTAGAAAATTGTGTTCAATTTGCGTTTGCGGGATCCCGCATGTGAGAGTTACTTTTAAAAATGTCTGCAGGAGTAGTGGGAATAATCCCGCAAAATCCCGCATTTTCAATTTGCGGGATCCTGTGCGGGATTGCGGGATTTCTCTAAATTTTGGAAAATTTTTGAAAAAGCACGCCCAAAATTTAAACTGAATCACATATGTACTATTCGATCCATCTTAGTTAGTGTCTGGGCGGAATGGTACAACTTTCTACATGAAGACGACACAATCTATCAAGTGATTGATTCATCTGATAAAGTGATCAAATCATCGAATCAAGCGTTTGAGTCATCTGAGCAAATGATCAAGTCATTTGATAGACTGATCAGATGATCATATCATAAGCAGGTGATTGGTAAGCCGAGAAGTGACAGAGATGTAAATTTGAAGGAGATAATATTGGAAAAACATTGATGAGTACTTCACGGACTAGATATCGAATTGTGGAATTAAATAAGTTAGACTAGGATATGGACATTTTGCTATCCGTCAGACTATTTTCCTATCCATGTCCGGATCTATCCGTGGTGTCAATATCCGTATCGGTTTATATCCGTATAACTTTTTAGACATATCAATACGATCCGAAACCCGGCCCGACTTTTTTTCTCAACCAGTGACATCCTGATGTATATGTACATACCGTATTTCCTGAAATAGTACTCCCCCTGAATTAGTACTATTATAGAAAATAAGGTATATAAATTCTTGAAATTTTTTTTGCGCCTTCGGCGCAAACCCCCAGTAATTAATTTAAGATTTGATTATATTTCTTATAAATTCCTGGAAATTATAGGTGCTCCTGTCTAACGCACTAAAATAAACTAAAAATTTACAGCGTGTTTTGGTCCAAATTGGACCGTCTCTGGACCAAGTTTTGGTATTTTTCGATTTTGGTCGTTTCGTGTTTTGGCAAGATCGTGTTTTGTCTGTCAGTGTTTGTCTGAATGGAATTCCTTGTTTTGCCTAATTTTTTGACTTTTTTTCTTTTATTTAAATCTTAAATTCAAAATATTCCCTCAACAAATAAATTAATTTTTTTCCTCCTTTTTTTCACAACATAGACTTAAAAAAACAGTTTTCGGGCACAAATCCTGCAAATATAAAAATATGAATTTTTACAATTTTTATTTTAATTTTCATTTATAGTTTCAAAATTAAATCTTAGTTAAAAAATTAATTAATTTTTGTAAATTTAATTTTTAAATATTGTTTTAATTCCTTCTAAATTTAATACTTTATTTACATATTTTTTAAACTATCTTTTAAAAAATATGTCTAAAATTGTCATTTATGTAACGCATTTCCCTCTCATTTTTCTTGTGTGTTCCTCGTCTCCCTATGCAATTAAGTCCAAATATGAATTTAAATTTTATTTCAGATTCGAATTCAAGCTCCAAGGGGGTTTTAGTTTCTAACCAGAGATGTTTCGAAATTTCGATTTTCGAGGGTTTTTTTCTTTCGATTTTCGATTTCCGATTTTCGAATTTTTGAAAAAATTTTAAATTTTGGCGCTAAAGCGAGGATTTTTGGCTTATCGGCCATCATAAATTTTAAAAATTTTCGCCTGCGGCGCAGAAAAAAGAAGATTTTTGCTCAAGGATCATCCAAAATTTTCGCATGCGGCAAAAAAAAAGAGGAAGCCCTGACATATTAAGGAAGAAGCCCTGATCTATTAACAATATTATGATTCGGCTCTGGTATATTGGAAAATTTTCGTAAGGAGGATTTGCTTTTCCCCCATGCCATAACCCTATGCCAGGTACCGCCCAACCCTATGAGTAAAGCGGCCTAGCTCTGCTTTACAATATCGTGGATTTTACTCAAATCCTCTATTATCTCTCTTAATCGTCACAGATCTCATGATAAGAGACCCACTTGAGACCTAACATTACAAAAATTTATTTTTCAATTTTTATTAAAAAATTTTTTTTCGATTTACGTTTTTCGAGGTTATTTTTCTTTCGATTTTCGATTTCGAAGATTTTGAAAAATATTTTCGATTTCGATATTTTTGGATTTCTTTCGATTTTCGATTTCGAAGATTTTGAAAAATATTTTCGATTTCGATATTTTTGGATTTCTTTCGATTTTCGATCTTCGAAAATTTTGAAAAATATTTTCGATTTCGATATTTTTGGATTTCTTTCGATTTTCGATCTTCGAAAATTTTGAAAAATATTTTCGATTTCGATATTTTTGGATTTCTTTCGATTTTCGATCTTCGAAAATTTTGAAAAATATTTTCGATTTCGATATTTTTGGATTTCTTTCGATTTTCGATCTTCGAAAATTTTTTTGTTTCGAAACATCTCTGTTTCTAACCCGAATTTGTACTAGTCTGATTTGAGTTAGAAATTCCAAATAAATAAAATTCAGACTTATGTATATTTGGACTTAAATACCTCTAGAAAAAGTATAATTCTTTTTCTATTTATTCTAGAGAGATTTAAATAAAAGGTTTCTTAAACAAAACCGAATTTTTACCGGAAATTGCTTTAAATTTATATTTCTTTAAAATTTATCATCTTCTTTAAAAAAAATACAAAATTATTTTAAATTTTAACAAATTTTGAATATTTTAGATTTTGTTTATTCTTTTTAAAAATTAATTTTAATTAAACAAAAAATGACTGAAGAAGGGTCATCAAATTCTACTTTGAAATCGAAAGTAGATGATAATTTCTGGCAAATAAAATCTCTTGAAAAGAAGACAATAAATCTTGAAGGGAAAAATTTTTTAAATGAAAATAGATTGGAAGAAATTGAAAAAGTTTGTGGAGATATACATATTTATATATATTTTCTTTGATAATTTTAAATTTTAGAAAATTTTGAATTTAAATTCTGAACATAAAAATAAAATTGAGGAAATGGAACTAAAATTTGAAAAATTAAAGGAGGAAAATGATCGGAAAGATGAGAAAATTAATTTTTTGGAGGAAAAAATTAAAAAGGTATTTTCTCCCTTATAAATTTGAATTTTGCCCTGTACTTCGTACTCCTATTTTTGGCTTCGTACTTCGTATCAAAGCACGAGTACGAATTCTGGTAGAGCGTATAAGCACTGTTTTCTATTAATTAAAAACAATAAAAAAATATCAATTTTATGTTTATTTAAAAATTTTGGCCCTATCCGAAAGGAATGCCGGCATCCAATTTTTCCTTCCCTCCTCGAAAGGGAGAGAAAAAGATAGAGCCGAAAAATTAACTTTTCCTTTCCCATTCGAGGAGGAAAGGAAAAATTGGATGCCGGCATTCCTTTTGGATAGGGCCAAAAATCTGACAATCAAAATAAGGACAAAATTTTCTGATTGAAATTTTTTGTAGATCAAAGGAGCTTTTCGTTTTTTTAAATTTTAA